GCACATGGAGGCAATATTCGGCTGGCTGCTTAACATTCAGAAGGGATTTCTCTGATCCACCCTGTCACTGCCTTTCTCTCTGGGCTCTGCAGTATGAGCAAACACTGTTATTTACCCTGGGACACAGGTGACTGAACTTATAAAAATCACTACAAGACAAGATGTATTGAGGCCTGGCATGGAATGACAAATTCTGGTGAGGTTCACCAAGAAGAGACATATTGATTCTTAAATGATTAATAAGGAGAATATAATTGTATTTCATTAAGATGGATGGGATTTCATTTAGTCTGTCTTCCCCCTTTCCAGTTCAGATGCGAGAGGAAATCAAGTCATCGTCAATGGCACCTCGTGTTAGCCTGCCATGGCAACAAGCTCATTGATTGAGTAACAGAACTTCCAGATGCACTGGCTGGTCTCTCTGGGTTGCTGAAAGCACAGATAACAAGGCCAAGGGAGATGCAGGAAATGTGTGGAAATCCACGGTGCAATTTCTCATGGGTTCCTCGTAGAAATAAGCCCTTTTGTAATTCTAAGATTCAGGTACAAAATGATGCCCGCTTCCTTTATTTGGTTAAAGCTACTGTGAGGGGGGTCAAGTCTGTGTAAAGCAGAACACTTTGCACCAGGATTTTCTTAGTTAAATTGCACTTAGGTAATAATAATACCTAAGGATTACCGAGGACAGGACTTCCCTTTCTGCATCATCTAGGCTTTTTTTTTTTAAAAAAAAGATTTATTTATTTATTTGAAAGTCAGAGTTACACAGAGGGAGGAGAGGCAGAGAGAGAGAGAGAGAGGCAGAGAGAGAGAGGTCTTCCATCCGCTGGTTCACTCCCCAGTTGGCCGCAACAGCCAGAGCTGCGCCGATCCAAAGCCAGGAGCCAGGAGCTTCTTCCAGGTCTTCCATGCAAGTGCAGGAGCCCAAGGACTTGGCCATCCTCTACTGATTTCCCAGGCCATAGCAGAGAGCTGGATCGGAAATGGAGCAGCTGGGACTAGAACCGGTGCTCATACAGGGTGCTGGCGCTTCAGACCAGGGCTTTAACCCACTGCACTACAGTGCCGGCCCCCTCATTTCTTTTCCCCCCAAACACCTCTGTGTGGTGGGTACCACTGATATCATCATTTTACTGCTGAGAAGGCCGAGATTCAGAGTGACCAAAAAAGATCACGCTTTGCCTTGAATCCATCCTACCTGAGTCTGTTTCTAAACAACTTAAGAGCTTCTCACAAGATATTTTAATACAGTCTGCTTCCATTTTACAGGGTTTGCAATGTGGGTTCAATCAACCAACAAGAGAAATTTTTTTTAAATTGCATCTGTACTGAACATTTACAGACTATTTTTTCCTGAATGATACAGTATAACAAGTATATACATAGTGTTTACAATGTGTGAGGTATTTAATTAATTTAGAGGTGAATCAAATCATACAGGAAGATATGTATAGGTTCTGTGCAGATATAGCATCACTTCATACAAGGGGCTTGAGATTCTTAGGATTTCAGCATCCACTGGTGGTGATGGTGTGTGTGTGTGTGCGTGTGTGTGTGTCCGAGGTGGGGGAGCGGCGGGGGGTGCCATAGAACCAATGCCCCACAGAAACCAAAGGAGAAACCAAGCTGAGGGCAGTGTGTGTAGACTTTGGAGCCAGATATTGGGATTAAGGCCAGCTCTGCCACCTAATAGTCACCAAATTAAGGAATTATGTAATCCCTGACCTTTTTTTTTTGTCTTCTGTAAGAACGAGGAGAAAGTGCTGTCTTCGTGCACAGCACAGATGCTAGGACAGTGGAGTCCACCAGGCCAAGCTCCTCTCGCTTCGCTCGTTCCAAAGACAGTCAAGGCCAAGATCAACGTTAACATGCAGGGGAGACACATTCTGCCCATTGTACGTGGAACGAGAAGAATATTTTCTGAACGAGAATCCAAATGACCCCATTCCTTGACTGTTAGAAGACTCAGCTTTGTTGTCCGTGGAAACAGGACAGTAGTAACCAGTCCAGACCATGTTGTGTGAGGGCTGCAGGATATGAAGCAAATAGCCTCGTTTTCACTGCCTAGTTCAGAGCCTTGGATGTGGTCAGTACCCCACAAGTGGGGGCTGTTATGATTAGCATTATGGTTGTTATTAGGACAGCACAGCAATAGTAGTAGCGGTAAAACAGACAGAATTACCTAGTCCAAACTGCAATTTAATAAAGAAATTACCACATAAAGCCTCTATGGTTTCCAATGTTCAAATAACTGGCATCTAATAAAATACACGCAGTGATAAAACTGAACTGCATATATCATAATAATTTGATAAGACGCAAGATTCGTCAATTATCATTAGCCTTCACATATTCAAAAGATGTCAACAGATACATTGACGACTAAGCCAGTTTATCATGGCCACAGTTTTCCAGATTGTCTCAAATATAGGATAATGCTAAAAATAGAAATTACATAAATATACAATTACACACAAATTTGAAAAAAAAACTAAGCAGTATAAAATTAGTACCATTATTTAAAATACTTTAAAAGCATTTATAACGAGACAAAAAGAATAAGGTGGCACTATGTGGCCTATTACTAAGAGAGAAACTGAGGCAAGGAAGAGAAATGATCTTGTTAGTCTTTAGTGTAGATGCCAAAGAGTACTTACTTACTTTCCAGGCTGCCTTCTACTCCCAACAGCCAATTCTAACGTGGGTTTTGAATGTCACCGTACTCAGAGGTGGGTGTGCTGGAGCACTGGAGGTTTGCGATTCTGACTTTTGTTTTATTTATAAATCACTGTGGATAAACTCATCACTTCTATCAATCCCCTGGGGTGGTGGAGGAGTCAGATGTGGAGGAGCTGGGCCCTCCGAGACCAGCCTGAGGTAGGGTAGGCGTGTAGGGAGAACAGGATTGGGGGAAGTGGGTGTGGAGATGGGGGAAGGTGCTTCTTTAGCATTCATGACTGCTGGGCAGTCATGACAGAGTTGATAGGTACATAGAAAGATTAGATAGATGCTAGATTAGACAGGTAGATGGGAAGAGAGGACCCTTGTTTCTGATTCACTCACTAAATGCCCACAAGGGCTGGCTCCCAGCCAGGAGCCAGAAATTAATCCGTATCTCCCATGTGGGTAGCAGGGACCCAAGTGCTGGGGCCATCACCTGCTGCCTCCTGGGGAGTGCATTAGCAGGAAGCTGGAATTGGAATTGGGGACAGGATGACAGAGGATGTGGGTGTCTGGGCTACTAGCACAAACACCAGTACCTCTCCCTTTTGGTGTTTTAGAAAATTCCCAAGGTAATCACTGGACCAGTAACTGTGTAGGTGGCCTCCTGAGAGGGGCTGTGTTCACACAACTGGTGAAAGAAGACAGAGGGAGTTGACAATCAGCTTTCAGCTCCTCGCTTTGAAGGAGGCAGTCACCTGTTGAATGAGTTGAAACTGTCCAGAAAGGTAATGTGGTAACAGTAGGAAATAAATCAATTGGGCAGAGGAATGGGGCATGCCCCATACTTGGAGGTGTATTTATATCAGGTAACAGAGAGAATATTTTCTAATAAAAATAAAATAAAGCTTAAATGGCATGAGAGTTGCTTTAGATTACAATGGTTCCTGTATAGTAACATTTTGATTATTTAAATGGAAATAAATCAGAACATATAGATTAAATTTCTTTGAAAAACACACTGGCTTTTGTATATTTTTTATTAAAATTTCATTTCTAATTTCCTGAAGTAGGCGCCAGAAAAAAATTAAAAAGAAAGGAAGGGTAACGAAAAAACACATTCATCTCTGAGCTTGTTTTTATAATATTTTTGGTAAATAAGAAAATTCTCTCTCTCTCTCTCTCTCTCTCTCTTTCTCCATCTACCCTGCCACTTTGCCTTTCAAATAAATAAATGAATCTTAAAAATCAGAAATAGAAATTGAAAAAAATTAAGTTGCTATGAGTGCTTGCTATACAATATATGCAAGAAGACTTGACAGTAAGAGGGATTTGAATATAACAGCCAAAGAAATGTTAACATACAAAATTTCATGTATAATGCTTTTATTTAAAAAAAGATTTTATTATTCATATGAGTGGTAGAGTTACCGATAGTGAGAGGAAGAGACAGAGAAAGAGGTCTTCCATGTGCTGTTTCACTCCCCAGATGGCTGCAATGGCCAGAGCTGGATGAACCCAAAGCCAGGAGCCAGGAGCTTCTTCCAGGTCTCCCACGTGGGTGCAGGGTCCCAAGCACTTGGGCCATCTTCTACTGCTTTTCCAGGCCATAGCAGAGAGCTGGATTGGGAAGAGGAGCAGCTGGGACTAAACCCAGTGCCCATATGGGATGCTGGCACTGCAGGCAGAGGGTTAACCTACTGCACCACAGCACCAGCCCTTGTATAATACTTTAAAGACAGATAAATAACCCTTCTCATTCCAAGCATAGGCTTTTAAGAGATTTCTTTATGTAGTGTTTTTTGAATGCTATTTGCATGAGACATTTAGATATCATTTCAATTTGAAACAGGATTTTAAGGAGTAAAATAAAAACTAGAATTTTTCCAATAAATGAATAATCAGTTGAAGGGCATCAAAAAGAGAGGCCCATGAAAATGGGGTATACTAGAATCATCAGTACTAATAAATATTAGCTCTGCATGACCTCACTTTATTATCACAATATTTATGTTGTATTATCCAAATTTTACAGAAGTGGAAACTTAGGTTTATGGAAGTCAAGAATTTTATCCAAGTCTGTGAAATTAGGAGGGAGTAGATTAATTCCCACCTCATGCTATAACCACCCCCACCATACCCTCTTTCGGTCTTTGTGTAACCACTCCATTTTGATAGAGAGAAAATTCTAGTAGTTTCTTCAGAAAGAGGGTATGGGAGGCAAGTTATTGAGCCTTCCATGCCTGGAGTAACTTCTATGTGTTCTACATTTTACAGGTAGTTTGGTTGGTATAGAATACTAGAATAGAAACTATTCCCCTTTAAAATCTTTTTAAAAGATTTGGCCGGTGCCCATCCCCCGCGCCCCGCGCTCGAGCCGGGGTTATAATTGCCTCTCACCCCCCCGGAGGGGTTATTTTGGGGGTGGTTGGAGGCGGCGGCGGCGACGAGGGGAGTTTCCTTGTGCCTCCATTCCCGGGAGGCGGGGAGCGGCGTTGGAGGCCACCGTTTCCAGCACCAGCATTGGATGTTGATTGGCAGAGCAACAACACCTTTGCTTCATGTAGTACGGATATGTGCATTCATGTCTGTAAATTAGGACAAGACAGACCTATTAAAACATTCCAGGGACATACGAATGAAGTAAATGCTATCAAATGGGACCCAACTGGCAATCTCCTGGCCTCCTGCTCTGATGACATGACTTTGAAGATATGGAGTATGAAGCAAGACAATTGTGTCCATGATTTGCAAGCACAAAATAGAGAGATTTATACTATCAAATGGAGTCCAACTGGACCAGGGACGAATAATCCAAATGCCAACCTTATGTTAGCAAGTGCATCCTTCGATTCTACTGTTAGGTTATGGGATGTTGACAGAGGAATTTGCATACATACTTTGACAAAACACCAAGAGCCTGTGTACAGCGTAGCTTTCAGTCCTGATGGCAGGTATCTGGCAAGTGGCTCTTTTGACAAATGTGTACACATCTGGAACACACAGACAGGTGCTCTAGTTCACAGCTATAGGGGAACAGGTGGAATTTTTGAAGTTTGCTGGAATGCAGCAGGAGACAAAGTTGGAGCCAGTGCATCAGATGGTTCAGTTTGTGTATTAGACCTTCGGAAATAGCGCTACTAGTTGGAAGCCATGGACCGACTATGAATGTGTACATAGCCAAAATGACTGTCCCTGACCCATGTACTGCTATAGTCCCACTTGAACCATGGCCAGTCCACTACAGCCAAACCTAAAGGAAATATATACATACAGTGTATATAAACAAAATTGCACCCTGAAGATGACAGTTTTGTCACAGCTTGTGAATTCTGTTCACCAAGTGCTGGAATCTAATCTGCTGTGCCCCTAAAATAGCATTTAGAAGTTTTGGATATGAAAAACAGAAGAGAGAAATATACATTATAAAAGCAGACCATACATGTACCAGTTTTTGGATACTAATGACAGCCTTGTTTCTCCCCTTGAATCAGCAGACACCATGGATTATATTCTTTTTTCCCTTCAGTAGTGAGCAGTTTGTATGTACAGAGAAAATGGACTTACAAAAACTTGCAGCAGTAGTTTGTTCTTGCTTTTCAATTTTGTTTTTGGTTTAGATTATGGATGAATGAAGTAAGGGAGTGAATCAATTTCTTGTTTATATTTTTTCACCTTTTAAACAACAAAAAATTCTTAAAAATATTTTAATGCATTTTTTTTTGAAAAGGTAGATGTTAGGTACATTTTATGCCTCCCAGAGCATATATTCAATTGGTGCATATCGTGGAAGGGGGAATTGGAAATCAAATGAAAATATATGACTTTGGTCTTGTCAATCTGTAAGACACATCAGTAAAAGGGTATTATGCTCTGTTTTTGTGGTGATGTGGCTTAAATATAATAGTTTCTTTTTTTGGGACAAATTTCTGCCAATTAAAAACTAGAAGGGCACAAATTTTTTTTTGATACCATAGAGAAGATACATTTAAAAAAATCTTCTGATGTTTTGTAGCCATAACTAAAATATGGTTAAAATGTGCACTATTGTGAAAAGGAGCAAAGTAGTTTTGGGGTTTTTTGTTGTTGTTTTGTTTATTTGTTTGTTTTGCTTTGGTTTTTAAGAGATTAAAATGTTTCTGGATAAGGATTAGCTTCTCAAGTGTCCATCATTCTATATAGAAGCTTAAATGTGTAATGTAACCAAACCTCCAGTATTAAAAAAAAATCTCTCCTATTATTTTTCTTTATACAAAGCAAGATAACAGCATATAACACTGCCATTACATGGCAAAATGTTTGCTACCTTAGTTTAAAAATCAATCTTTAAAACAAAAGACTTGCTTCAAGGTGTTTTTAAAATAGCAGTGATTCAGAATTTAAAAAAAAAAAAAAGTATAATTGCACTAACTTCCCTGCTGCTCTCATTCTGCATTTGTGGTACTCGTGACTACATATTTTTCAAATATAGATTTAAGCTGCTAGTTTTTGTTTTAAGAAGTCACTACTCTATCATGTCTTTTACTCTGTTCATAACATCAAATATTTTCTTAAAGATAGGTATCAAGTCAAACCTCCTCTTATGCTCATGAAACTAAAAGTAAAGTATACAGACAAATGAAAGCATGGGGCCATGTTATATGTGAGAACAGGGTTGGTCATGATTTAACATAATCCAGGAATGTCAATTTTGAAGAGTTGTCAAATTTATATATCAAAGATTTTAATTAAGGAATTGCTTCTTGAGCTTAGCAAATTTATAACACTATTTCTGTCACTAATTATTTTGAGACCTTTACTACTAAAATTTTAATCTGTGTTTTAAGTTTAAGTAGAAATTGATTTAACCCACGTAATGCAGCTTTGATTTTCAGCATTTGTTGTTTTGCTATTTCTACAAAACAACATTGATTGAAGCAAGTCTTGGTTTTACTAAGGTAGGGTAGCATTTGCTATTGGTAAAGAGAATAAATACACTTAATTTCACAATACATTGTTATATGTACCCCAGTTGTTCTTAGTGGGGACTATGATACTGTAATAATATTTTTTAAGACTTACATCCAGAGAGGCAGTCATTCATGATGGTTTTGTGCCAGCTGTTTTTAGGGTTTTGGATCACATTAGAGATACCTAGAACTTATTACCCTGTGACTTATGTAGGAAACCTAATATGCTGAGTATCTGGCACTTGAAATCCTGCTTTTATTGCTGGAGGTCCACATCTGTGCTTGACCTCTGTTGTTGTTTTAAAAAAAATAAAAATAAAAAAATCTGTGCAATAATTTTTAAGTGTGCTCCCAGGAATAGACACAAATGTTTTGAGTATGTTTAAGCTGCATTTTCCTTTAACGATGCATTTGTCAATTGCACTGAACTTAAATCTGAAAGTCAGAGGTGATTATTGATAGTACTTTTGTATTTTGATATGGACAATTCATTTGCATACAGTTATTGACTTTTTCCCCAGCTAATTAAAAGATAGTCAAGAAATTCTGCAATGTAGCTGCCAAAATAGACAGCTACATTTCTATGATATTGTCATCTTTTCTGTTTTTTTTTAATTTAGCTATTTTACTTAGGCATAATAGCCACAATAGGACATATAAAAATTATAAATACAGAGCTTTATTATCCTGAAGTCTTGGGTCTTTTAAGTATACACTCCTCTGAAAGGTATCCATTTTGTAGGCTTGAGTTTTTCATGAGCATATGATTGTTTTTGCTGCTGTTCTCAACATCATAATTGCCTGCTGATGTGCCACGATGCTGCTCCAATAGATAAAAATAAGATTGTCTCTGATTTGAGCAGTAGCATGATTGCAAGAGACCAAGGTTCACAACCTGTAAAGTTCTATAGTTGGGGTTCTTGCTCATTTTCTTCCTATTTTTTTTTTGTGAGAACTTATTCCTGAAGATCAACTGAATCCAGTAGTTTTTGTATCGTATTTCATTGTATATCATTGTTGTATAAGCTACTGTAAGAAACTTATAAGGAAAAATGGAAAGGAGAATGTGAATGAATAGTTGTTGATTAAAATAGAATAAAGAAAGAGCAGCTGCCACTCTTTTTTTTTTTTTTTTTTGACAGGCAGAGTGGACAGTGAGAGAGAGAGACAGAGAGAAAGGTCTTCCTTTGCCGTTGGTTCACCCTCCAATGGCCTCCGCGGCTGGCGCGCTGCGGCCGGCGCACCGCGCTGATCCGTTGGCAGGAGCCAGGAGCCAGGTGCTTTTCCTGGTCTCCCATGGGGTGCAGGGCCCAAGCACCTGGGCCATCCTCCACTGCACTCCCTGGCCACAGCAGAGGGCTGGCCTGGAAGAGGGGCAACCGGTAGCTGCCACTCTTAAACATCATAAAGGAATATTTCTTTCTCCTGTGTGTAGGAAACCCGTGTAAGTTCTTATTTGTTACAATCCCTGTTTTCTATCATTTATCAGGAAACATCATTGACTTTCAAAATGACTTTTAGAAGTGAGATTTTAATTTCCTAATAGATCTTAGAGTGTTTTGCCTTCTGTTTTAGTTATTCTCTAGATAAACACATTTTAGGTTTAACACCTTTTACAGATACTGAAAGTGCCTCCTTTTGTGGTGTAAAAAACAAATTATGGTGCAAAAAGTAATCACTAGATTGAATTACATGAAGGTTTTTTTGCTTTTTGACATGTAAAAATGTCAAGAGAAAGGCCAAAGATTTGTACTTTTTCACGTAACTTATAAAGCACTCCTTTTTTCCTTAAACTTCTTTCTGTCAAATTAGATTTAGTGAGAGAGTACTATTTTTAAGGAGCTATCTGTTAATGTAGAATGATTTTGTTAAGAGTAATGTAAACTATTACTGAATAGAGGCCTAAAGAAGACTGTGCATTTTTGCTATTTAAAGGAATCACAAATGACCATACTTAACATGAGCAAAAATGGCAAGTTTTACAAGATAAGTAGAAAAATCTCAAATGCAGTGCTATTTACTCTTTCATTTTCTGAAGCACATTGTACATTTCTACCGAACCTATGTTTATTCTCACATGCTAAGGATGGTACTTGCATATTGCGGATATCTGTTGACAGTTTCTGCAAAGTCCGATCTCAGTGGACCAACATTGTGGCATGGCAGCAAATGCCAACGTTTTGGGGAATAGCAGCAAATCTATAAGAGACCCTGGTTGTTTTGTTTTTGTTGTTGTTGTTTCCAAAGCCTCCCCCTTCTCCTGAGTCAGCAGGATTGGAAGGAGGGTAGGGAAGTTATGAATTACTCCTTCCAGTAGTAGCTCTGAAGTGTCACATTTAATATCAACTTTTTTTTTTAACATGATTCTAGTTAAATGTAGAAGAGAGAAAGAAAAAAAAGAGGAAGTGTTCACTTTTTTAATACACTGATTTAGAAATTTGATGTCTTATATCAGTAGTTCTGAGGTATTGATAGCATCCTTTATTTCTGCCTTTACGTTGACAGTGTTGAAGCAGGGTGAATAACTAGGGCATATTTTTTTTCTAGTAAGCTGTTTCATGATGTTTTCTTTGGAATTTCTGGATAAGTTGAAGAAAACATTCTGCATGTTGTATCTAGTCTGATGTACTTATCCATCTCATTACAAAACAAACAAACAAACAAAAAAAAACCACACAGACTGCATTTTGTAGCTCTGAAATCCTTGAATACAGAAGTAATTTTCTTCTTTCCTGACTTTGACATTGTAGCTATAATGTTTTCATTTTGATTTTTACAAATCCTTTGGGTCTAATTCTGTGAGCCTACCTATAGCACTGGATTAAAATGTCTGCATCATTTCTTTAGTTATCCAGTTAACTTTAAAACTGTTGTAAAAGTGTAAACCAGCCCATGACAGTTTTTGTACATGTTAAAGAACTTTATTGTTCAGTTTTCATGATTATTGTGTAAGGAAGACTGATATAGATGTTCTATGCTGTCCTGGACCATGTTAATTACACTTACGATGTATTTTGGTTCCACATCACAATGATTTGTTCCCAATGACCTTATTATCCTTTCTAGGCACATTTTTTGTTGATGTTGTTGCAGTTTCCCTTTGCATTGTATTGCTTTGACAACTGTAATTTGAATCAGATCTGAAAGAGGTCCAGAATAAAATATATTTTGATATTAAAAAAAAAGATTTATTTATTTATTTGAAAGCCAGAGTTACACACAGAGAGAAGGAGAGGCAGAGAGAGAGAGAGAGGTCTTCCATCCACTTGTTCACTCCCCAATTGGCCAGAATGGCCGAAGCTGCGCCAATCTGAAGCCAGGAGCTTCTTCTGGGACTCCCATGCAGGGGCCCAAGGACTTGGGCCATCCTCCACTGCTTTCCCAGGTCATAGCAGAGGGCTGGATCGGAAGTGGGGCAGCCGGATCTTGAACCAGTACTCATGTGGGATGCCAGCACTGCAGGCAGTGACTTTACCCGTGAAGCCCCTCCCCTTTAAAATCATGTAATCTGTGTGTCTTAGTGTTTTCTAGCTTTCTCTATTGTCATCAAGAGAGTTACAGGGCTACTCTGATTTCTGAACATTTTTGTGTGGATTTTAATTTTTTCTCCTCTGGGAGTCTTGGGTATTTTTCTCTTGCCTCAATTCTACCACAGTTCTCTAGAAACTTACCAAGTTGCCGATGCTTATTTATTCTTTGTGCTGAATCCTTTTCAAACATAAAATTTATGTCATTTACCTCTAGAAAATATTGTTTAATTTTTTTCATTGGTCATTTTTGATCTACTATTTTATTTCTGTTGTTGTTGGTCCATGTATTTGGGAGATCTAAATAAGAGTGGGTAAAATTGTTGGATTTCCAGACCTCCAAAATTCTTATCTTTTCGGCTCAAATTTTCCACCTCTTTGTTTTTTTTTTTTTCTTGTGCAATTCTTACAACATTTCAGAGAATGTTTTCTATTGACTAACTTCATATAGACCTATAAAACTCTGAAGACTCATTTTGTGTTTCCTCACTGTCCCTCCTGACTACCACCCTGTTCTTGTTTCGTGGTTGGTGCATCTTTTATAATCTTTCTGAAGATATGAATATGAAGATATGTTTCAGGGAGATGTCTTCTGCTTACATAATCTCAGTTTTCTTCCATTGTGTTTGCTTATTTGTATGAGTCTCCAGCTGTTAAATCAGTTTCTGTCCTCTAATACCCTTTAAATCTAGTCTCACTTTTGTTTTTCTCTTTATTTCTGAGGAATAAACCGGAAACTATGATCACAAGGGTGGAGTATGCCAACTTTGAAAGCCACTCTTTTTGGGTCTTAAATTTTCCAAGTCAATATGCCAACCTGCATGACAAACGTTGACTGCCCATTTTGGAGGGTTGGGGATCCAATATCCACTCTACACTCCTTATCTACCTACAGAGGTCCCACAGAGATTAATGCCTTGCATAGTAATTATCAGTCCATACAGCAGTTACCCATTCATCTTTGAGCTTATTAGATCTTTAACCATATCCTGTTCATGTTTGCATTTTTACCAACATGAATGCATCCGTTTGCTGGGTGAACAAATGGGTGCAAATGTGTAATTTGTCTTCTGACCAGCGGGGTCAATACTTTCCTATACAACTGAGAAATATTTTGCAAAGAACTTATGCCTAGTTCTGTCATAACAATATCAAATAGAGGAGCCCACATAGAGTATATTTAAAGGGGCTAAATAACTTAAAAAATGACCATTTAATGAACACTGTAGCATTAGTTATAACAAACTTCTCTATAATAAAATTTCCTAGTCTCCTGGAACTGGGAAAATTCACCATCATCAGTTTCTAAGGTCTTATCTAACATTGCTTGTGAAAACCCAGTTGGATGAACAGAAAGGAAATTATCAGTGTCAGTTCATGTTATCTGGTGTTGTTAGTAATTTTTCAAATGTGTGTGATAGGATAGTTGTACTATCCTTACATATAAATGTGTGACATGCAAAAAAACTATACTCAAAATAATAAATAATTTTCTCCTCCCTAGAGATACTTTGATTGGTAAATCTACAGATAACAACCAAAGCAAACCAAACAAAACCAAACAAAAACACAGGTAAGACAGAATATTGTAGTGCATCCTTAATCAAAGAGGCCAACATATAAGAGGGTCTTCAAAAGTTCATGGAAAATGTGTATTACAAATTTCAATTTTTTGCAACAAAATAAACACATTTTTAATTCTACTTTTCCATGACAATCTTGAATTCTCCTCAC